AGTAGACTACTACCGGTTATACTCATCCGCTAGAGTTTGGCACTTCACAAAACGACTATTTTTAGAATTAGCCTTCCGCCTTTAAGTCTCTCATCATCTCACCAAATCTGAAAGATAATGCAATTTCAGACATCAAATTCCAAATCTAGACCAAATTTTACCCAAAAATAGGCAGGCAAAAACCCCAAAAGGGAGAGAGAAAGAAGATTTCTAAAAATAGCCTGGACTACATTCCTATACAATCATTTGCATAAAATGTTTTAGTGGAGTGAGTCCAGAAATGTCGTTAAAATAGTTCTGAAATTTATGGTAGGAATGATCTGAAATGTAGAGTTACTTCCCTTCAATTAACCACAATTTCTATTAGAAGGGCATAAGATGTTAGAAACAAATTCTTCGGTTTCGTTAAAGCTTCTTATATGAATCACAGAAACTTTTTTTAAAAAGTATTTTAAAATACCTTTCAAGAATACATTTTTTAAAGTAACGTTAGTTTCATTTTACGAATCATCTCTCACAGTAGATCACAATTGTTTGTTACGGCATGTTTACGTATAGTGGAATATTTTGTTGAAGATTTAGTAACGACATTTAGCTCACTAAATACAATATTTACTACTCATACCACGTAAGGAGTCAAAATAAAAGTATCTTAAGGAGGTGGGATTAAGGTCGACCTTGCAACTGGCTTGGAGTAATTTGTAAAGACTACCAGTCGACTAACTGCTGGCAAGAAGGATCATCTATTAAATCGCTGAATTTATTCGACATTTGCGAACCATCAACTGAAAACACGGTGTCAACAGTTGTCGTAATTCGTTTCTTTCGGGTTATATCTGATTATGATAGTCGACCTGATCGGTCGCAATTCTCACCATCTTGATAATTACAGTAGCTAGTAGTTAGTCAAAATGAGTGCTTCGCTCATCAAATGAGATGCTTTTGAACTGAACTATACTTTAAATCCAACGATCCATTTGTATGGATACCAACTGTTCAAAACATCTAAAGTCTCTGTTGCCCACACACCAAACTCTGTGTTACCTGATGGGCGCATGACTATGGTGACATTCAACAACTCTACACGTTTAAAGAAGAAACACCGAACGACAAACAGACATTTATATCTAAATAATTATTTGTTCACAATATCTGCCCACAAATCCAATCTTACAGGTACACAGGAATTCACCATGTTCTGGTCTACATATTCCACCATATAAACACGGCTTGTACTCGGAACAAATGTGCAATGATTTAGCTGAAAATATAAACAATAACTTTAGCATTTGGGTGGCTATATTAGAGAAGAATTGCCCCTTCACATTTACAGATGAAATGAAATACGTCCTACTATTCTGCACCATGTAGACTAATGAAGACGGGCAACGCCATGCAGGGTGCAAGGAGGGAAATTTTGCCAGGACAGCGGCATTAGCCTGCTCTTTTTCGATTTCCAACTGTCGAGGGATATTTAACGTGCACAGCCTGTAGTACACGGGGCTTCGGTTTATTGTATAGTTACAGATGACACATGTCGAGTAAACCATGTTCAATCACAGCGGGGTGTATTTTACTCAAAAAATCACTGACAAAATAATTAGCTCTGAAGGCATTTACTTAAGTAGACATCGCCCTGGGTATATACAGTTAAATTCTGTCAACTGCAACTCAACAAACGTTACCATGCTTTCTTAAAGGCTTCAGAAGGATATTGGTGCTTTTCAAATATGCCAAGCGAATCAATTTTTAGTCCGTGAAATGAGATGCCGACAAAATATATATTTATAGGTTTTGTGTTAAATAACATGAAAAGCTACGTACCAACACATCTATAAATTGGGGGACATGGAGCCTTTTTACAGTAAACAGTTTCAGCTATGGTTGTTTCACCATCAGCACATTTCAATGACTGAAAAACAAACGTTTCGTGATATGATACCTTTTACGACTAAAATAAAACGCATTTATAGAACCTATTATTATGAAAATTAGTCCTAGGCTCCATGCGACAATAAAAGCGTATATTTTAAATTTTGCCCAAACAGCGTGGAAGAACATTTCATAAGTTGACAGTTCCAACTGTTACAACTGGTGTACGTAGCATCTGTACCCCTGCACCAAGTTGTAGTTATTGTTAACACTAACTTCAAGATGTCTTACTTGTCCTGTAATACTTACTTTTGACTGGAAAAAGGCTGAAAGTGAAAATGGAATATACGATTCAATGTATCAAAGAATGTTACAAAATACAAAAAATAGATCTCTTTGCTTCAGCTGACGACGAATGATTACGTCCTTGGATAGCGTCGAGGTACCTGAACTACAATCAATATAATTAAATGAGGAATAAATCTAACGTTAAAGGGACAAGAGCGCCAGTTTTTTACCAATCGTACCATAGTCTCAGAAACGAGAATTCTTTAATTCAGTAATAGTGTTCACAGCTCACCGTCGAAATTTGATCCTCCAAATCCATGTGTGTCCAGAATTATCTGCTTTTGAAAGATGAGTCGTCATATATAGAGAATACATCTGTCGATATTGGAAAAGAAATTCCTAGTTTGGGATATTTTTGAAGGAATTATGCGATATTCGTACATTTCGTGTACTTCTCCTAATAATATTTACATATATTCATATACCAAATCAACTCCCTGAATATGGCGGATCTGTCGTTTTAAAGCAATAATTGTATGTTGGTAAAATTATGTCCAAATCATGAGAATCCAATCAACGCGAAACAGACTGTTTCTACAAAAAGATACAACACATAGTAATGATTCACTTACGAATTGCTGTACAGACTGCAATCGTTACAACCACCGTGAATAAAACTGTAAAACAATACAACGACTGGATTTTAGAACATATTATTGTTAATATTTATGTGAATTTAATTAATATTTATGTGAATATAATTAATATTTATGTGAATATAATTAATATTTATGTGAATACTGCCCACGGATTAATTTCATCACAATTTAAGAATATATGTCGCTGATTTCAAATTCGTAAAGACAGATTTGAATTGATGTATAAACACCTTGAATAAATAATGTCTTACCCTTGGAGTTCATCTTGAGATAATGTCAGTCTTATCTTAGTAGTGTTGATTATCTAAGAATCACGAACGTACTATGGTTTATTTCTTCTAAAAACTAAGCCATGTTTTAAAGAAAGGTTCTGATATCGTTCCAAATGTGCTCTCCATTTTCTCAAGGCAGTAATTTGGCTGGGTGACATGCAACTTTACAGTTTTTATCAGACAAGAACAAATCTTCTTTTATTTCAAATAGTGTTAAACATTTATTTTATAACAACTTACATTTAATACTGTATTATTTTCATAACCAGTTTTAAGTTTGGCGACATGCCACTATTAACGGTACCTTGTGAAACTTAAATCAAGACTTTTTTCTATTTTCTAAATCCGAAGTGAACAGGCATCTTTAACAACAATGCCAAGCCGCGATCAAACTTATCATAAAGTAGTAAAAATATTCCCTAAAATGCGACCAGTGGCGGAGCCAGGTTTACGTCCGAGAGGGGAGGGGGGCGAAATATCTGAGGTTGCCCGAACTTCTATCCTAGTTGTGAGATTTTTGCCCGAAAAACATGCCTTCGGGGTAGGGGGGGAGGGTGGGGGGGCTCTGATCCCTCTGCCACCCCTTTGGCTCCGCCATTCTTTGTGACGTCACTTATCAAGAAAAAAAACATGCTTCTTAATACTAAACATGTTATTTTCTTCAGGCGATGATGTAATACCTCTGTGGATTTCAGTGCATCATATTAACGCTTTGGAATCAGATTGCGTCACAATTGTTCCGAAAATTCCACAATATTGTAAGAATAAAACTCCAACCAATGAATCGATTATGTCCCCCGCATATTAGCTAGGTGATTGACGTCAAACAAAAGACGAGGTATTTAATTGTAATGTATACGGTATTCAGATGAATATATTCAATTGAAGATCACATTGTTATGTTAATCATTATATTAAATAGAACATAACCTCAATTATTGTCATAATACATATTGTATATACCTATTGAGATATTTTGATGAGTTCGTTTAAAGGGTTTATTCCACTTTTATCACACAACAGTGCTGTTCCCGGGTTGATAACACCGGTTCATAAAAACGATATGAACTCGTATCACAGGTTAATAAATGTAAATTAAGCCATGTATTCAAACACCATGTAAATAGATCAGCATTCTTTGACGTTGACGACTCAGAAGAAGTTTGTTATAAGAATGAAAAGAGTAAACAAAGCAAGAGAAAGGAGCAAACAAATTTTATTCATTTGTATTTATTACTCCACAAAATAGATTAATCTGTATCGGTAAAATGAAAAAGTTTAAGTTATCTACCGACGATATCAAAGATCAAAAAATAAATAAATAAATAAAAATTGATAAACTCATTGGATCAGATCACTTAGATCAAGTGATTGTACGTTTAATATATAAGGATTAAAATAACTTTTAGTCTCGCTAACAACATTTAGTTCAAATTTACAACGTTAGACATATTATAAATACATACTAATATTTCTATTGACTGTAATAAATAATGGCTACGTCCCTTTAAATCAGGATATCGATATATAATAGTTGTTATTTCTATTGACCTATTCACATTATTGTTGTCAAACAACCGAAGATTGTGGTCGACGTCTTGGATTAAACCTTCAACATGCGATCAACTCATTAGTTAGTGCAGAGACAAAAGATCCTGAAAGTCTTCAAAGGTCTAGGAATATTCCAGGAATAATTTGATTTTCACTGACGCTTTGTTTGATAATCTTTTAAAGAACTTTTTTTTTACATTTCTGTGTGCAATAAGGTGAAATCAAATTTGTATTTACGTGAAAGAAATATTCTTCTGTGAACTACAACGTCAAAAACGGATTTGTCAATTCTTTGGGAAAAGTTTGTAAAATGAGTCTTCGAGTGTGACAGAGAGTTTGATCGATAAGAAGAGCCAAGATGAATCCAAAACAGAAGGAAGTATTACAGACTCATCGAAACTTTGTTATAAAAAATATTATATGGAATGATCAGTTAGCTGAATTATTAAAAAGTCAAGGTCTAGTTACAGATAGTATTCTTACTGATATAAACGTAAGTACAGAGTTCTGTTTTTAAAAAAATGGTATCAAATCTAACTCAACGAATAGTCACTCAGTAGTGTTTGATATTGTCCGTTTTCACTATGGGAAAGCGTTGGAAAAAATTTAAGTGTTCATTGAGACCAAATGAACATTTTGAAGGAATAATATATATAAAGTTTTTTCATTAAACAATCTTTAAAATTTGATTATGAATACAAATTTCAAGAGATAATTATACGACAGAGTATATCATAACATGTCTTAGAAACATGTTACAAAAACTTTATATGTAGAAACTGAAGAAAGGCCTTTTCATTCCTTTTATCGCCTTAAAATTTGGTCTTAAAATTGGAAATGAAATGTGTGTTTATTCAACGTAAATTTGAAACTTGACTCATTTATCAACGCAAAGTCAAAAAAGCAAATTACAATTGGTATATCGTGACGGTTAAGAATTAATTTAGAAAACATAACGCTTCCGTGGTTTATGGACATTAACCTAATTTTGTTAGATTTAGATTTAACATGAATAGATTGAACGCAGTTGTAAAGTGGTTACGAATTTTGAGACTTAATTACGGTTACAACCAATTTTCTACGAAAGTCGTTCTTACTGTGACACGTTCGAACTTCACATGTATGTTGTTTTCGGGTTAACTATTTGATGCATGCGTTTGAGCAAGATGTGTCTAAGTAAATGTCTCCATTGATGTGTATCATGTATCCCATGTACTAATGCCCCTCTGTCAATGTATCATTGTGGCCCTATACCAATTTTCCTTGATTGACCCTCTCACAACGAAACGGATCTATGTGCCACTCCAAAGTGTACACAAATTTCCTCGAACATCCGTTTGGTATCCGATTTTCCAGATATTATCTTTTACTGGGCGAAAATCTTAATACTGTAATGTATGGCTTACAATGTGTTTAACGGATTAGCTTTAAAACGTCGAGTATAGGATTAACTTAATCTCTAGTTTATATAGACTTAACAACTAAGTCAAGAATTTGAGGGTAAGGCACAGTATGATAACATCTGTATTGGCACCAATTTCAGGGACAGGTCTTTTCACATGCTATGTATGTAGGCAAGTAGTTCAGTGGTTCTGATAAGGTTACCAAACAATTTTCACAGAAATTTAATTTAGGCATCTTGAAGAGTTCAGTTAGCAAAAATCAATATTTAAGACATTTATTAAAGATATCTTGAAGATTTTGGTATAAAATAATCATAATTTCAGTATTTTATTAGAGGCATCTTGAAAAATTTAATCAGAAATATAATCAGTATTTCAGTAGTTTATTAGAGGAATCTTGAAGAGTCATTATAAGAAATAATCAGTATACCAGAAGTTTAATAGAGGCATCTTGAAAAGTATATTAAAAAAATAATCAGTATTTCAATAGGTTTTTAGAGGCATCTTGAGGAATTAAGTTAGAAATAATCAGTATACCAGAAGTTTAATAGAGGCATCTTGAAAAGTATATTAAAAAAATAATCAGTATTTCAATAGGTTTTTAGAGGCATCTTGAGGAATTAAGTTAGAAATAATCAGTATACCAGAAGTTTAATAGAGGCATCTTGAAAAGTATATTAAAAAAAATAATCAGTATTTCAATAGGTTTTTAGAGGCATCTTGAGGAATTAAGTTAGAAATAATCAGTATACCAGAAGTTTAATAGAGGCATCTTGAAAAGTATATTAAAAAAATAATCAGTATTTCAATAGGTTTTTAGAGGCATCTTGAGGAATTAAGTTAGAAATAATCAGTATACCAGAAGTTTAATAGAGGCATCTTGAAAAGTATATTAAAAAAATAATCAGTATTTCAATAGGTTTTTAGAGGCATCTTGAGGAATTAAGTTAGAAATAATCAGTATACCAGAAGTTTAATAGAGGCATCTTGAAAAGTATATTAAAAAAAATAATCAGTATTTCAATAGGTTTTTAGAGGCATCTTGAGGAATTAAGTTAGAAATAATCAGTATACCAGAAGTTTAATAGAGGCATCTTGAAAAGTATATTAAAAAAAATAATCAGTATTTCAATAGGTTTTTAGAGGCATCTTGAGGAATTAAGTTAGAAATAATCAGTATACCAGAAGTTAA